ATTTTTTTCCCCCCCCCCCCCCCTTAGAAAGTTTTCTGCGGGCGCCCATGCCGCGATGCCTCCCCCTTTAAAAGCAACTGAAAGGAGATAATATCTGATTTTATATCAACCAGATTCCTTAACGATTGCTGTGCTGATGTGCTTAATATTATAACTTATGTGCTCTCGCGTGTTTTCCAAACGATACTAAATTCAAACATCAGTGAATGTGGCTTGAAAACTTGTTCCTTTTAAAATGTTTTATTTTTTAAAAAACATCATAAAAATGTCTCAGGCTGTGGGAGGCCATTTAAAATTAGCTGGCAGGACACGGGCGGCCCATGGGCTGGACAACACTGCTCTAGGCTTCATTGAAAAACAGCAATCACAAAATGTATTTTTATCTTCTAGAAATTCTACGTAGATTGCCAACAAATCTTTAACAAAATTAACTGTATTCAAAATTTCCAATGTTTATCATCAGTGTAACTAGTGTAAGCGTAATTATAGTAAATAATAATAATCCTAAAATAATAATCTTAAAACATAAATTTATTTCCAAATCAAGCTCTAGATAAAGTGAGAAACAAAGCAATTTGAGTTTGTCACCATTATTTGAATGCTTACAATGACAACAGACAATGGAATGTAAGAAGTCTGCCTATGTACAAAGATAACATTACAGTAACAGGAAATGTTTGAAATATGACATCAGCTTTGTGTTTAAAAATAGTTCTCTAAGAAGAATTTACATATTTTTTTTAGATCCACACTGAAGACATCTTAGGGGAGAGAAAAAGAAGTAATATATCATCACTTCCTCTGCTTGTAAAATGTAAAAATCTATGTATTTTATTTAGTTAAGGACATTAAGTCTCATCCATTTATAAATTTTATGGGAATGATATTGTATGATACAATAAATAATATGGTAGAGTTTGAGATTTCTTAAGCTACTGGTACCATAATAATAGTACGGTAATTTAATCAATGAGTTTTACTTTCAGGAAAAACAGCGTTACTTGCAATCAGCTAATATAAGTACCATGAAAATACCTACAATTTTTTATTATTAAAAGCTTAGCTAAAGGATCCATTACTTTAAAATCATCACAACTGCATATGAAAAAATGCTTGGTAAAAATTATATTTTTTAAAATTGAGCACCCCAAGTAAAATATGGCAGAGTATTGAAATAACATGATAAAAATTTTAAAAAGTTCGAAAATAAATATGTACAATTACATCAAACCATGAATACGCCAGCATTCTAAGTGCTTTGAGTATATTAAAAATAATTATAGTAACATTGCTTCAAACCTCATCCTTACTGTAATGAGAGCTACTCATGTACCACCAGTACAGGATATTTTTTAGCCTAATCATTTTATTGTAAATTACAAAAATAACTAAACCCCATGGTGCTGACAATTTGGAAGTAATCGCATTATTAAATTTAAATTATCAGTGGCAGACCTGGCAGAGAACAATTGAAAGGATCTGCAGAACAGGGTCGTGGCGAGGAAAAGCTGGCACAGAACAATGGAAAGGATCTGCAGAACAGGGCAGTCAAGAGGGAAAGCTGGCACAGAACAATGGAAAGGATCTGCAGAACAGGGCTGTGGCGAGGGAAAGCTGGCACAGAACAATGGAAAGGATCTGCAGAACAGGGCAGTCAAGAGGGAAAGCTGGCACAGAACAATGGAAAGGATCTGCAGAACAGGGCTGTGGCGAGGGAAAGCTGGCACAGAACAATGGAAAGGATCTGCAGAACAGGGCAGTCAAGAGGGAAAGCTGGCACAGAACAATGGAAAGGATCTGCAGAACAGGGCTGTGGCGAGGGAAAGCTGGCACAGAACAATGGAAATGGAAAGGAACTGCAGAACAGGGCAGTCGAGAGGGAAATCTGGCACAGAACAATGATAATGATAGGTCTTATCTTAAGATGCTTTTGGCCCCCCCCCCTGATGTTGGTGCCTGCCCCCCTCATTTTTTTTTTCCCCACAGGGCCCTGCTGCAGAATTGAATAGAAACCATGTAGACAACTCTCATAGACAGAAGTGGTGTTATTTGACCATTGCACTGATCACTACGAAGACTGAATGAAAGAACCCATTAATTTTAATTGTGAATATTATTTACATGGTGGTAATGTTAATCCTTCTAAGGCAGTGGTTCTCAACCTTCCTAATGCAGCGACCCATTAATACAGTTCCCAATTCTTGTGGCGACCCACAACCACAAAATCATTTTCGTTGCTACGTCATAACTGTAGAGTATATGTGTTTTCAGATGGTCTTAGGCGACCCCTGGGAAAAGTCTGTGTGACCCCCAAAGAGGTCGCTACCCACAGGTTGAGAACCGCTATTCTAAGGGTTTTTTTAATTCCAGGAAGTTGATGTGTATTTCCAACATTCTGCCTTTTCTCTGAATGAACATATGTGATTCAAACTCACTAACACTACATACAGAATGTAATAACATCCAGTGAATAACAAAAGAAGTGCGTAATTGTACAGAGTCAAG